AATTAATTTCTACTTTTATTAGATATCAATAAAATTTATTTTCTAAGCGCACATCTTTCAAATTCTGTACGTTAGACCCCAAGTATCATACCTTTTCGGAATCAGCTCGTTACGGATTATCTAAAACTAACACAAAATACAGGTTGCATTTAAAAACATTACCGATGACGTCATCACATTAATATGGACCACCCTGTATAATGGAATTCTGTTGTAGAATATTGAAAGTAAAAATCGACGTGTTTCAGGTTTTTGTAAAACGACATTTGGTTTTGGAAATATCGAATTTATTCCACACTTTGCGGACACACTGTATAACGTTATTGGAGTGTTTGAAGGTCGAAATGGCGGAAAAACGACCCCATTTGAAGAAAATGAAAGTGCCTGTTTCATCAAGACAGTGCACAGTGTCACAAATAAACGAAAACGATGGCATGAAAAGGGCTTCGAATTGCTCCCACATCCACTGTGTTCGCCAGATTTGGCTCCCAGCGACTACTGGCTGTTTGCAGACCTCAAAAAAATGCTCACCGGTGAGAAATTTCGCTCTAATTAAGGGGTTATTGCTGAAACTGAGGTCTCTATTTTGAGGCAAAAGATAAATCGTTCTACAAAAATGGTATTGAAATGTTCGAGCGGCGCTGGAATGAATGTGGTTCTTAATAGAGATTACGTTGATAAATAAAGTCAATTTTGAACGAAAAAAAAAACGCGTTTTCTTTCTTAGGTCCGGAATTTTTCAGCACAGGTGTTACATTATACTATTTTGATTCGGATAAATTGTTACTTCCGTATGAAAAAGTTATGAAAATTTAGATGAAAAACAAACTTTGGATCCAATTGATGACCACAATAATTTATTTTCAAACTGCGCATGAAATTGCATTATAAACTTTACTCAATGATTGGAAGTCATCGAATGATGAAGGCAAACCTGTTGGTATTTTATTTTCAAATCTGAAAAGAACTTTACAAACTGTTAACAGAGAAATTCTTTTAAAAAAATTCCATAGAAACGGATTCACAAGTCAAAATTAAATGACAAAAAGCTCAAGTGACATTCTAAAGAAACATGGTGTTCCACAAGAGTCTGTTTTAGGACCGGGATTTTACAAATATCATTCATCACATAAATGATATTTGTAAAATTGAAACACAACTGTTTGGCAGATGACACTGTGTTTTATGTTACAGGAATTTCGGTGGAAAAAAATATCGATTCTTTACAAAGGTATATCAAATTTATTGAAAACCGGTTAAATTTCAATAAGCTGAAACTGAACCCAAGTAAATCAAAGTGTATGTCACTTTGCCACCAGAGTTATATGTTTTCCTTCAAAAATTTACAGTTAAAGCAAATTTCAATGAATACATAACTTATATTTTGGGAAAAATTCCTAGACAAAATGGAATTTAAAAAAATAAAAGATTTGACAAATGGGACAAAATTCAAAATGAATAGATCATAAAGCCTGATTTTCAATACTGTTGAACAATTCTTTTTTTCTCGGAATAAAGAATCAGACAGAAATTTTACAGAGATTACAGAAAAAGACCCAGCAAGTTATTTTAATTGGGAATATGAGTGTCAAAGATAAAACACAATTCTCAAGTAACAACCATTTTTATTATTCTAGAAATTCTAATCCAATTAAAAAGATATAACACACCAGTTTTGGAGAAAATCAATTATTCTATAAAGATTTGAAAAATTATAATAAGTTGTCATTAGGATTGAAAAATGTGAAAATTTCGTAAAATTCAGAAAACTTCCTTCAACTTTACTATTTTATCATCTTTATATCTTTTTCAAAATATTTAAGAAACAGTTTCTTTATCATAATGACATTATGATGAGTTTACTTGAAAATATTAAAATTCTATATTTCATGTTGTTAATCGATTATAATGATCTGGTTATATTCGGTATTTATACATATAGTAGTTTTGAAGCAGAATAAACTCATTATTGCTATTATAAATCCACTTGGAATGTTCCTCTTTAATAAAAAGTATGCATTTCAAATTAATTTTAAATTATATCGGTTTGTCAGATAATACAATGAAGTTACTAGAAAACTGTTTAAATCTGTTTGAAATCTGTTTTTTCGTTAATCAGCTGTCGCCCCCATATGAACGATAACTCTCAGAAGTTGAGGAACTAGTGCGAGCTAACAACTAACAAGATCTTACCTTTCAACGTGTGATTCCTAACCTAACCTAAAACTATCTGGAGAACTAGAAACAGAAAGTCTGTACCAACGAAAATTGCTTTGATTCTTCAGTCAGGAGGACCTCAGGGTTCAGTTTTTGGACTTTTGCTCTCCACTGTCCATTTTTGGAAGATCTCACGTTATTTGAAAGTGTCATTTCTATGTCGATGACACTCGGCTCTAATACATTTTCACTCCTCAGCTTGTGGCAAATGCTTTTACCCTCAATAATGAAGGTAGTCTTTTGTTAACTTAGCCAAAGATCATTGCTTATTAGTCAATGCTGATAAATCAAACACCATTTTATTCAGATCTGAAAAACATCAGAAAATATCTGATTTGTTAGTAATTACCGTCGATAATGAGTCACTAATGGATCCAAAACTCTTGGTGTAAGTGTCGACTCTGACCCGAGTTGAAAATACATTGATAAACAAATAAAACTTACGTATTCTTCAAAAAAACTCATTTATGGTATATTCTGGTAAACACAGTTCAAAACAAATTTATGAAAAAACCTAATACTGACACGTTTTGATTACTCAGATACATCGTATGGACCATGTATATTTCAAAAACGAAAAAAGTCCAAAAGGCATGCCTACGGTTATTCTATGGAATGATAACATATAAACGAATATCCTATAAATTACGCGAAACTAGCCAATGGTGATCGACAGATCCTGCTTTATATACCTCTACCAATGGGTACTTTCACCGACACAAAAAAGGCTTAGAATGGTTCACACTGGTCCACACTGTTAACGGCGAGCACTATAGGTCAATGATTACCAACTTCTTTTGGCCGAAATTGGATGATCTGGATACCAACGACATTTGGTTTCAATAGGACGACACTACTTGCCATATAGTTCAAGCCACATTGAATATTCTGCACGAGCGATTTGAGGGCATCGTCATCACGTGGAGGTGATGTGAACTGTCCAATGAGATCGTATGATGTGACCCTATTGAACTTTTTCTTGCGGTGTTTTCTTAAGTATCAGGTGTATGACAATAGGCCACAAACCACAACGGTCCTCAAAAGCCAACATATCTCATACCATTGGTCAAATTCAGCCTGATTTATGCGTCAGAGCCATGAAAAATTGGACATTTCGGATGCGCTCCACCCAGAGAAGTCGTGGCGGTCATTTGAACGATTTTAATTCAAAACATAATGGCATCAATAGGTCTTTCAAACGAATGGAAATTTCGATGATATCTCAGACACATTTTCAAAAATAGGAAGCGCTTGATGAGACCCTATATTGTCCTCGGCATATCTAAGTTGACTGAAGTGTAGATTTTTTCCATACAATCTAGATCTCAAAATGAAAGAAAAAAACGCAATAACTTTCAAACACGGCATCACCGTCGAAAGATGTTCTTTACAGAGCTTCAGATTGAATATTTCACCTAGGGGAGAATAGTCTACGCGGCGATGAAAGAAATACGGTGTTTTTTCATCCATAAGTTTGCATTAAAAGATAAGAAGGATAAAAAACGAATAACTTCGAATATAAGAGAGTCGCTGACGGAACGATTTATAGAAGCTACAGAGACGGAATTTTATAGACCGGGGAATGAATTCGATGACAAATGAGTTTCACGTCATGCCCGAAGGAGTACGACTCCAGATTTTCCTTTCCACGGATTTGAAATATGAGGCGCTTATTGGGAGGGTTAGTTGTTTTGATAATCATAAGAATATACTTTGTATTCGAAAGAAGGACAGCTGAACACGGACACCCCCTCCCGTGAGGGGCATGCGCAGAAC